CCCCAAAACCCCAAAACCCCAAAACCCCGTAATATAAAATTATTCTATTTAATTTTGCAATAAATAAAATACTCAATAATTATTTATTAATGGATTTTTCAGATTAAGAGGCTTAAAAACCCAAAAGATTTTTAATTGCTGATCCTAAAATGCGCAATTTGCATGAAAAAATAGTCAAGTCAGACTGAGATACTATTGTCCTTCAAAAGGTAATATTCCTTACAATAATTTATACTCTGATTTAGTAAGTGGTCAAGAAATACTATCATGACATGAAAGAGGATTATTAGTTGATTGGCTCATAAAGTAAATCTCCAAAAACAGTAATGCAGCTGATTCAGAATAGATCAAAGTTCTTAGATAACAAGTTTAAAACTGAGGGACAAGTAGAGAGCAAAATTAAGCAACTAAAGCAAAATATGTCATAGAAGAATATTACCTAGCTACCGTTTCTGGCCAGATAAACTTCAGAGAAAAATGGTATGACTCTTCATAACACAGTCACAACTATTGATAACTCAATGCAATCTACAAATGGCCCTATTTTTAAGAGGAAAATGTCCTAGCAAAAGATTGACACCAATTATTACGATGAGACACCATTAATAATGCAAGACACCAATGCCCTCTAAGGCTCGAAAGACCTCTTAGTGAACAAAACTCGACCTCTTGTGGACTAAATTTTCACACCTTTCAGAAAGAGATATGCTCTGATTAGTGAAGACGAGAAAAAGACAATCAACAGTTTTATCATTAAAGTGGACCCTAGAGCTCCTGAAGCCACCAAGAAGAAGTAAAATACTAAAGCTATATTATTGAAAGAATGCGCAAGGCCTGCGGAAGATGGGAAAGTAGATCCTGATGATGAGAAGAAATACCTAAAAAGCAAAAGCAAACCTAAGAACAAAAATATATAGACAAAGAGCTTGAAGAGAATGTAGCTTTTGAAGGAACTTAATCTAGAGATGGAAGTAAAGAAAGCTGCTTCTTCACCAGACATACCTTTGAGCAAACACAACCTGATGTTTCAAACTGGTTCTTAAATATTTTCAAGTAGTATCAATGGCCCTTAAGAATATCTAAATTAAACCAATAATTAGAGTATTGTGAACAATACAAGCAGTCAAATAAATACAACTCCTATTCCATCCTCTCTGCGAAAAAGCTAATCTTTCTATTTCAACAAAACAATAACAGCACCCTTTTTTAAATCAACTTAGGATTATCCTTCTCCCTAGATTTTCAAATATGACAATAGTGTATCTACTAGGCAGTTTTTAATGTCGACTTAAACATTCCATACTATTACTGAGATGAGCTAGAGTAGAAATGGAGATGTCTAGAGACTTGGCAGTATTGTTTCAGAATGTGGCACACTCACTAAGGGCACCAATATGTCTCCATATTTTTTCAAAAAGAGGAAAGTTACTAAGAGAAATCTTAAAAAACTGTCTAACTCAAAAAATAGAGTACTTTTAAAAGATCTTGCTTTGTGATTGAGGCATAATTCAAATAAATGTACCAGAGGGATCTGATTATAAATTAATTTCTTAAGAGACAGGATATCTCATTCATACTTAAACTTTAATAATATATTAGTGATGAATAATCATAATTCACATTCCTAATTTTCTTTTTCTAGCGAAATCTTTATCACAGCTTCTAAGATGCACAACCAGTCTATCTGGCAGGAAAGTTCTGGCGCAATTGTGACAAGGGACAAGAGCTTTCTCATTGAAGTCTTTGAAAGCTTCCTCATTATAACATTCAAAGTCATAAGAGCCATTTCTGGCACCCTAAATCATCAGGTCGAAGTTCTTAGGAGGCTCTGGTACTGGTCTCCTCTAGTGAGGTGGCTTAAATGATTCCTCAATCTCCCATTTCTTAATGCAAGTCTTAAGATGAATTTAAAGGCTCGCTGTTCCATATTCTCTACCACAGATGTAGCAAATAAGCGTTCTAGGTCTCGAAATGAAAGCTGGTGGTTTTTTCTCCTTAGGGGCTGCTCTCTTTTTAATCTCAATGTTTACTGTGTTCATTACTCCTGTTCTACCTTTCATTATACAAGTCCTTTCATGTATTTTAACTTTGTCACTTGTGAATACATTCATACAATTCAAGCATTGAATATTATTGCCATTTACTTGTTGATAGATTTAGTCAGATATTAGACCATTATTCATATTTTAAGTATACCCTTTAGTCTTATAGTTCAGGAGACTATTATTCCTTTGCTTACTCGTACTTTTTTCATTTCCCTAATTTTTTTTCAATAGATTTTTCTTAAGATCATTCCCCTCAGCATAATAATGAGAAGAATCACTTTGAGCCAGCATATATTAGTTACTAACATCAGGCAAAACACTTCTCTCATTTGTCATAGATCTCATTGAAGAGTCACTTTGCTGCTAGATTTGATAATTATTATTATTCATAACGTTTATTGCTTATTGCATTTGCATGTTGCCGCCATTGGAATTCATGGTATTCATTGTAGACATAATGTCCTTAGTCTTAGAATGATATGACTTATGTGATTGTGGCGATTTAATGATTTTTCGAAAGTCAATTTTCTTCTTTCCCTTCATATCTTTGTAGTTATTAATCTCTCCTGATTTGTTAGAGGCTGATTTAACAGATAATGACTATTAATGGAAATTAGATTGTGTTTAAATAATAATCAAATTGTCCTTACACTGGCTGTAATTTAAGGAAGCTCTGGATTAGGTCTGCGTTTTTCTTTTTAATTTTGATAGTCATCATTTTTAAGTCTCAATCAACACCCTTCAATATGAATACTAATGTTTGAGAGGCCAAAACCCTTTCCACATAAATAGCAATTGACTATGTTACTTCCCTTTTGATTCATTTAAGTTTAATTTTCACAATTTCTATAATTCTCAAACTTAAGGGGTTTTGGGGTTTTGGGGTTTTGGGG